GGAGTAACGAAATGGGCAATTCCCATTTGCTCTTAAGTGCCGGTCTACAATAGTGATTTAAGCTCTAAGCCTTAAGAAATTGACCAATCACGATCAAGTATGAGGAGAATACTCGACTGTGATTAGTCAATTTCTTAAGGCTTAGAGCTTAAATCACTATTGTAGACCGGCACTTACGTTACGATTTTCTCTGTGCGTTGACTGAAGTTTAAGTGCCGATCTACAACAGGTGGTTTAAGCCCTAAGCCTTAAGAAATTGACTAATCACAGTCGAGTATTCTCCTCATACTTGATTGTGATTGTCGAGAACCGGACTAAAATGATATTCCGATTCGGTCATGGTTAAGGCCATTTATATAATAATAACTGTTTCGGTTTCTTGATCAATGAAAAGAGCCGAAACAAGTTTGAATTACAATTGTTTTGGTTATAGATACGATCTCTTCAAAATTATTTTTTTTCTTATTTTTCTGTTTCTCTATTAAATTAGATCATTCTTTATTTTTACAATATCTATATATTCTTCATGCATAACTTATAAAATTTGTTAACACTCTATTTCTTTTCTATACATATATTATATACTCATTTTTTTATATACTCCGTTCTTTTCTGTAGAAAAACTTACAAGAAGAATAATTCAAAATATAAGAAAAAAAAAATACACGATATATATAGAAATATTCTATATATATATTTATATAAATTTATATTTGATTATGTATAAAGAATTTTTTTCCCAGGACCTCACTACATAATAACATCTGTTTTAGAGGAATATTATTTGCGCCTGTGCAGCAAAAATAAAACAAGATACACTGATGTTACCTCTTGATCGAATGGAGCATTTTTCCTGCCTACGTTAGGACCACTCATCCATCCTTCTTCGTCAGGTCTCACTCGACCGATCTCCTCGCCATCGACCAAAAAGGTGAAACCGTCGATCTTAAGACGACCCAAGACCACACTTAAGACGATCTTGGATATAAGAACGGACTATGAATACCGGCCTAGGTTTAGAATCAGTACTTAACGTAATGCATTACGGAAAAGCTTGTGCGGTGGCCCTTATACTTGGGAACACTATGCGCTTGATTTTGCTATAGAATATGTAGCCCGCTAGCGGTCTATACTTATATAGTCAAAGTTACTGCTACATTAATTCGTTTAGTTACTAGATAGTTACCAGATAGTTAGGTTGATAAACCTTCCGGTTTTCCCGCGCGAGAGTTATTATCAAGTTAGTCAGACGAATGTGCAATAAACCGTATATAGGATATACCTGCGTTTTTTTCTTTAACTGTTTTCGAGAACATTCGACGAGATTTATTAAAATTAAACCTAAGATTTTAACAAGTATTACAATTTGAGAAAAGAAAAATACATCATTTGTCATCTTTATTTTAAAATTTCTAACACTTGTAGTTTGAAGTGAATTTCAGTAATCGAAATATAAATGAAAAAAAAGATTCAGTGTTTAAAAAATTAAAAAAAAAGCATTAAATTTGTGCATTAAAGAAACAATTGAAGACAAAATTATGTCTTTTTTTACTTTTTATGGCAATAAAGAAGAAAAAATTGACTCAATTTTCAAAACAAAGCTTTGTTCTGTTATTCAAGGTTAGTTTTATTTTTATTGCATATATTTTACAAATATGTATAAAATGTAATATAACTAATAAATGTTTTTATTTATAGAAGCAATATCGGAAAACAAACACTTTCATGCGAAAGAACAAAACGCAAATTGGTTCGAATCTTGTTTTTTTTTTTTTAATTTTTTAAATAAGACTTACATAAGATGACCTTAATAGCTAGTTGCCACAATATATCAAATCTAGTACGGTATTTTTAGCTCTACAAGATACCTACGTTATTACATTCCATACAATGATGTAATGATGTAAACTTCGAAATATGATATATATGATGAATTATTTTTTTTATTATTTTCTTATATCTATATAAGATTTAAATGAGAAATATAATAGATATATTTATTTATTTTTGTATAAGGATAATATATATAAGGATATATAAAAATTCTATGTTAAGAAGGAGAGAGATGAGATGCTAAAAGAGAACAAAATGCCATGTAGGGGAAGTTATAATCAGCGAATATATCTATGAATAATGATATCGCTTTGGAAAATCTGCTGTGCTAAACGTGGAAAACATGTCCTTCGTAAACATCGCGTTTAAGAAATTTTTATATTCATGTAGGAATATTATCAGAGGATGATCGTCTGAGCGGTTAATGGAAGAGGCATTAAAGGTAGAACCAGCTCTGGGCGACCCTGAATTTCTTTCCGATTTCGCGGATAATATCGTTCACTCTCTTTTGCAGAGAAACAATGCACTACAATTACAAAATTCTTGAATTGCGTTATACAAGCGAAAAGGATTTTACATCTCGCGGTGAGACTCTCATCTCAAGTATTAGAATATAATATCGCTGGCAACATTGTAATCTTTTGTCATCGTTGAATTAGAAGATAATTGACTTGCCAATTTTTATTAATGCTTAATACAACGATATCGAATGGCTACTTGTACATATGTCATTCGAGAAAGTCTAAGAGATCTATCGCTACAAAAAAAATACGAATGATAAGAAAAATGATACGAATAATAAGAAATGAGTTACATATAGACGTAAACGCAATAATTCAATGAGACCACACTTTCACGTAATCTATAGCAAAAGCAGTCTTTTTGCCGTCGTCTTGTCTCCAGCTTGACAGCCATTCGTTTCGAGAGTTCCAGAAATTCAACAATGCCTATAATTGAATAAAACCAATATATATGTATTCTCCATGTAGCTATTTCAAAAATCGATCATACTCTCTTATTTTAACAAAAGATCTATTTTAAGAACAAAAACTATATGTAACATTGAGAATATATTAAAGGATCCATACCTTAGCGCCTATATTTCTCCATGGTTTTGGCGATCCAGAACTGGTCGTGTTATCCGGAAATACACGCATTCCACCCGCACCAACGCCGAGAGTAATATAGAACTATCATAAGAAAAAAATTATGAACATCTAATTTTTTACGAAACATCTTTACAAATGTTGTGTGTGTACATATATATTCAGTATATATTATATTTAAAATTAATTTGTGCCCACAATATAAGATAAAACGAACATGACATAAATATTTTCGTAGGAAGATTACAACATTTGTTTACTACAGGGTCACATCTCGAGAACCGGACTAAAATGATATTCCGATTCGGTCATGGTTAAGGCCATTTATATAATAATAACTGTTTCGGTTTCTTGATCAATGAAAAGAGCCGAAACAAGTTTGAATTACAATTGTTTTGGTTATAGATACGATCTCTTCAAAATTATTTTTTTTCTTATTTTTCTGTTTCTCTATTAAATTAGATCATTCTTTATTTTTACAATATCTATATATTCTTCATGCATAACTTATAAAATTTGTTAACACTCTATTTCTTTTCTATACATATATTATATACTCATTTTTTTATATACTCCGTTCTTTTCTGTAGAAAAACTTACAAGAAGAATAATTCATTTTCTTTATAAGAAAAAAAAGAAACGATATATATAGAAATATTCTATATATATATTTATATAAATTTATATTTGATTATGTATAAAGAATTTTTTTTCCGGAACCTCACTACATAATAACATCTGTTTTACAGGAATACTATTTGCGCCTGTGCAGCAAAAATAAAACAAGATGCAATGATGTTACCTCTTGATCAAATGGAGCATTTTTCCTGCCTACGTTAGGACCACTCATCCATCCTTCTCCGTCAGGTCTCACTCGACCGATCTCCTCGCCATCGACCAAAAAGGTGAAACCGTCGCTGGTCCAAATGGTCGTGTATACGTGAAAATCCTTCGTCCATCGCGGTCCGAATTCGTGTATCTTCGATACGAGTATTTCTCGAATATTGGGAGACGTGCCTACTCTCACACCAAAATCTAATCTTCGGGCATCGTAAATTTTCGAAACATTTGTGGCATTTACCAGGTTTTCGTTGCCCCGCGATATACCCAAAAGAACACGGCCACTGGGATAATTCGCACCGTACGTAGAATATTTTGGCTCCAGCCACATTTCTGATAAAATTATAACATAAAACGATATAGATTTTTTTTTATTTCTTTGACTTTTATATTTAGCACGATACACATTATAAATTAATGAAATTGTAACAGTTGGATTATGTAATGTTATGATCAGATTCTCTCAAGACTTCCTTGACAGCTTTATATATATATAAGGAATCTATCTTATAGAAAAGAACTATCTTAAATCGTGTCAAGAACAACAAAAATCGTGTCAAGATTCACAAAATTCCTCCCAGAAAATAAGAATTTCAAATACTATTACTTATATACTACTACTTATAATACTTTCTAAATATTTACAATTAGCTAAAAATATATAAATTAAAAGAAATTGATTGAAGCTTTTTGTAAAAAAATTGATAGATTGACAAAAGTAATGAATAGAAAATTTTCTGACATTCTATACATTTGACAAAACATCGTTTTATTGCATAATATGAACTTTTTTCAATTATATTATACACAAAAAAATCTCAAATTGTTTATAATTACCTGGATATAGCCAGTCGCCCTGAGGAAACCTCGCACGTATTTCGATTTTTCCGTATCGCAAAACGAAACGTTCCTTGGTGGTAAGACGCGCAGATATAATAGGTGGGAGAATGCTATATGATAATGCCTGCCGCAAACATTCGTCAGCGTTCGTGCTGGTACACCTAAAGAAAGAATAAATTATAAATAAAAGAGAGTGCAGCGAGAGAGAATTTTTATTAAGTAAAGAGAGATATTATGTCGGTGATGTGTAATATATTTACCTACTGAGTTGTAATTTTCCATACGTAGTCGCGTTCTCGCCGTACAAATCCTCTAATATAAGCGGCTTTATGAGTAATTGGCCATTATCAATTTGCACAAGCTGCTGATGGTTCTCATTGTGATATACGCAGAACTCATAATCCTAAGTTCAACAAGATTTTATCTTTATTTAATGAAAAAAAAGAGAATATAACATGCATCAAGCGTTGTGCTAATCTTTCATCGTACACATTACTCTATCGCATCTTCGCTTTATTGTTTTTTCTTAGCGATTCTGAAATGACCCCTGGCTTCAGAATACTCACCGGTTTTAAAGGCATCTTTATTTCGCGTTTCCATAATGACGCGTTAAAAGAATTGAAATTATCCTCGAGCAATAGCCGACCTATCGGAGTTTCATTTCTTGATGTAGAGCTCTCCGTAGTTTCTTGGCTGCCCATTCCTTGATTTCCCACTGCTATCAATCCAAATCGTTACCGTAAAAACACCGTTACTTTTATTGACCCGTGAATCATATAAATTGCTGTGTAAATAATCTTACAGGACTGCCTCCACGTCTTGACGTTGTTTTTGTAATGAGTCCCATCCACTTGCGCATAAATCCAATAATGAAGTACATCTCTTTTTTTTATAGTCACTTCCGGATCCTCGAAAATCCAGTTGCCGTTTGTCGCTAAATAGACATTACCGGCAATTTCGCCGTTTTCGTTAGCGCGAATTGCCTTATTCACGTTAGCGTGGAAACCAAATATTCTTAAGCCCGATGCATCTATTAATCATATAATGCACTTATAAATATAAAAACAATTTATCTCTTTTATTGTAATCTTATAAATAGCTTATAAATATCTTATAAATAAGCCATATTAGATGTCGTGGTTTACAATATAAGTGTGTATTCTTACTAATTTTCATTATTTAATTATTCTTTATTCTTTATTATATTACACAATTTTACAAACATATATATATATATGTATTTTCTTATAAAACATATGTCTCAAAGTTTAAAATATAAAAATTAAATGCAACATTACAATTGAAGGAGTTAATTTTTGTGATATAAAACTTTTAGAAATTACATGTATAGTGTTTAGTTGTTCGATACTACATGTGATAAAAAGCAGCGTTAAAATGAGATACGTCAGTACTCTAAGAAAAACCGCTTAATATCACATGCTTCTTACATTAACAATTAGTCTTGATTATCCCAAAGAATTCTCAAAGTGGATGATTGAAATGCGAATCCATGTACTAATCCACGTTAATAATTAATGGTTGATAACATTAATAACTTCAATAATTTCAATAAACGTCAATATTGCTTAAAACGCGTAAAAAATCGATATATATTAGTTTATACTTCTCAAACGCTCTAAAATACTCATGGATTTGAGATAAATATTCAACTTGACATGACCCTAGTGATGCTTTTGATAATATACACTGACGATAATTGCGATATATGTGTATGTGCGCATTCGTATTAGATAAATCATCGTAATTGAGTCATGTGCGGTATTTTATATAATTTGTGTATGAAATGCATTTTTTATAAATTCTTCGTAAGTTAAACGAATTACAATATTTTTATAATTTATAGCGATAATCGTCATTATTTTCATCATATTCATACACTACATTATATAAAATATCAATCTTTCACATGATCGCATTACAAAATCATCATGACAATTTGACAATAATTGCATATAATAATTATTTTTTTCTCACAATTCAATTAGACGCCTTTAATGACGCAATTTAAAACAATCATCTTTTTACAATGTAATTTTTCAAGCAACAAACTAAACATGATGCTTTGTAATTTGAACTTGTAAGAAACTTTTTTCTATTTAATCTTTCAAAAAAAAAATGCTTTTTTTCGGAAATTTTAATACTTAATACTGTTACATTTTTTTTCTTCTCCCGAAGGAGGCTTTATAAATCGATATCAAACTTACCAGGTATAGAAACTCGAAGGCCTTGCGGCTTTAGTACTTCGAAGGTCGGATCTGGCAGCACGTAAAGAAACACTGGTTTCACGAATATACATGCTAATGCGAACGTTAGCCAAAGTATCGGGAGATCAGTTCTGCCGGAAAACATGTTTATGATTATCGATTTTCTTGAAGCCGCAATATTTATTGAGCGTCAGATTCGCATGAAATTCGGAGAAAAACTGATATATGTATGCGCGTACCGTGCATTGAATGATTCGCTTACTACTGCTAAAGCATGTTATCATGTTCCTCCTTGCCTGTTTCTTCTTGTTTTCTTTTATTTGTCGTAGTCGTATAATGTCGTATAATGTCGTATAATTATGCTTCACTGTTTGTCTTGGGGATTCCCTCGACGGATCCAATCGCATTATGTGATATCATTCAAAATTCCCGGATATATAGTTTTAATCATTATCTTCAAATATTAATTAATATTGTCGTACATAGCTGTGAGAAAGAAGGCCCTGTGAAAAAAATATATTACAAACAAATATATTTATATTTATATTATATAAAATGACGATTGTTCGATACTGCTCTCGGTATTTCGCATATTATTTATATACACACTTACATATGCTATTAGTAATATCTATTCTCGAAAACTAGATTTATTTCCTCTCTTTCTCGATAATTTTATTATTATGTTTGACAAAATGCTTACAGCTACGGTCGCACGGAGTTCACTTGACAGAACTGTCACACATTGCATCGGAATGTATGACAATTCCGTTAAATGAACTCCATGCGACCGTAGCTCGAAATATTAAATGTCAAGAATCAGGAATCATTTTTTTCTTTTTAAGCAAAATCTTATGTTTCAATAAATGCTGATTTTGCTTTTTAGTAAAATTTCAATGAAATGACAAATAATAATATTGTAACGGATTTATTATATACAATATTATCATTACTTGATTTAAATGCTTTAAATAAAGAATATTTATTGTTTATGTTTATAATATATGCTGTCGAGTTTGCTCAGTAAGTAACATCTTGCACGCGGTGATATACCAACGCAGCGATGTAAACATGTGTCAGAAAATTTCGTTGTATTAACTGGAGAGCTTGTTTAATCGATAAAATTTCAAAGAGACTGTTTATCATGTTGCCTATCGTAACGAGATACAGCATAATCTCGAGGATATCTTGTAGCTTATTAAATAAGACTTTGATTAAAAAACGTATCATACAAGTGAACAAATGTAAAAGCTACGTTCGAGGTTATGTTAACCTTAATTCAATACATTTTTCGAAGAGAAATCCTCAAACTTTATTACAATCGTCTCTAAAAAATTTTAGTTCAGATACTAAATATTCGACAGAATAGTGAGTATCTTTACATTAATTATGCTTTTTTTTAAATTAATACTATAATATTTACATATACTGTTGAAACATCAAAATTCATTATTTATGTATTTTTATTAGCTCACTTAGCTCTGTGCAATACGAGAAGATCTGTGATGAAACTTTAGACTCATTAAGCGAATGCTTTGAAGAGTTAATCGAAGCAGCGGCACATTTACCAGATGCGGATGTCTCTTATGGAGTACGCGAATATTAATTAAAGAATCCATAATTGCCATTTGTGCGTGCATGTAATAATATTTGCAAAATTTTTGATGCAGGATGGTGTACTGACTGTAATATTTGGTGAGCCACATGGTACTTATGTTATAAATCGCCAAATACCAAACAAACAGATTTGGCTCTCTTCTCCAAAATCAGGACCAAAACGTTATGATTTTATAAATGGCCAATGGATATATAAACATGACGGCATAACATTACATGAACTATTAAATAATGAGATACCAGCAATTGTGAAAAATCAAGCATGCTTTGATAAATGTTCCTTTAGTGGTAAAGAAAAACAAGATATGTGATTGATGATTTTTTCTTCCTGAGAAATAATATCAATAGAGATTTAATTATGATACCCGGTGTGAATCTACTATAATTATTTTTATATAATTATAGGTGGAAGTTACTAAAAGATAGATTTATGACAAAATTATATATAAAACTAATATTAAAATAAGTGAAAGAAATTTCTTAACAATATATGTATATATATGTATAGATACTACAGTGTAAAATCTTCATGTGAGTAATTTTAATATATCAAGTAATCATGTATTATTGTATATTGCAAATTGAATTTTTGTACTGGCACATATACACTATTGTTACTTATTTACACTGTAGATTGCAACACATACATAGGGAATGTTGAAATATGCAACTTATCTTAAAAAAGATGTACATGATACATTGACTATGTAATACTAATTGTGGATATTTTTACATTTTTTTAAAGATTTTAAATTAATTACAAACATATATATATATATAACTACATAATGTATAATATAATTTAGTTATATATATGAAACTAATTTAAAATTAGTTTCAAATCTGTGTTATATATTAGTTTAAAATCTGTAGACAAATTATATATATATGTATAGTACAATTACAGGATTTCTTTCGTTAAATTATTAGATAATTGTATATTGGGCAAAATTATTTTGCTAAAGCAAAATCAACATTCATCAAAATTTCATGTATACATACTAGATAAAAAAAGCGCATTCTTAATTTCAATTACATTGCACTTATATATAGAATTTGCTTATGCACATACAAAATTATACATAATAAGACGATTAAATCATATCGTTCGAGTGTAATTATTTTCCTTATATTGTTTGATAGAGAGCAAAAATGGAGATTATGGAAGATGGGAATTTGGTCGATCGTGTAAGGATTTTATTACAACGAGATATGCAATATTACCAGGTATCAATTAGCTAGCCATAAATTATCTGCCATTAATGTAGTTTGTATTTTATATTATATCTGTTTTCAAAAGGGTGTATAATGTCGAAAGCGCTTTGTTTCGAATTTATTATGTATATTATATTTGATTGCAAAAAACTTGATTTATTGTGATCTCAAAACTGAAATACACATATGCGAATCGAACAATTCAATATCATTAATACGTGTCATTATTTTGCAATAGATATACTATCTGTGAATATTAATTTAATAACGAATGTAATAAATATTTTAGTGAAATGTAAGCTTATTGATTCGTATGTAATATTATTTTAATACGTTGTAATTAATACCTATTTTATATACTACGTATAACATTGTAATTTGCGATGTAGGAAATGCAAACTGTTCTGAGGGAACCGCTATGCCTACGCATCAGCGGCGGGAAACTCGATTTTCCACGACATGCTTCGTTCGCCGCGATAAAGATCGTCACATGGTGGGAAGCGGATTTTGTAGCCGCTTTTAAGCGCGCTTCTGGTTTAAGCGCCACCGAAAACGGCGCGTCCAGCGTCGACAGCGAGGACAGTGTCATTAAACGGATCCAGCCGTCCGATTTTATTCTGCTCGTTGTCGACACCGCTGAACAATTGCTAGGTACATTTTATCTCGGTAACGAGAAATGAAACCGATATTTATATTTGAAATTATCTGGCATAAAAATATAAATAGATTAATAGAAGTAATAAAGGAAAATTTTAAAAATAGTTATTGATATAAAAAAATACATATAAAAATAGTAGACTCTTCATAAATATAATTTGAATATACTACTTATATATATAAATGCAGCTGTTCTGATTATCACGCGTGTTAAATCTTTAAATTTCCAACATTTTTAAATGGTTATGGTAAATAATAATTATCAATATATATTTTTATTTTTGAGGATTATTATAAATTAGGTAAGAAATATATGAAGTGTTATGTGTTAAAGAGATTTAATTTGCTCTAAAAGATTCTTTCGAATTCGTGGAATAATATCGTAATTAGATCTTGGATTAAATTTCTAATTAAGAAAATCGATTTTAATTAAATAATACATTTCCGTTCTATTGACTCTCGTCCTCTTTTAATTTACTTTGTATATCTATCTGAGCAAGAAAGCTGTGTTTGACTTGGATGATTGTTTGATAATGGCACGATTTTCTAGAGACTTACAAACTTAGAAATATTTACAAGAAGTATCAAGAGATGAAACGATGTTTTTCTTACTGTTCCATTTTTAGAACATCTGCACATGTTGATTCAAGAATCCTTGGATCACGCCGATCTCACTGTGCTCACCGCCACTTTGGGCGCAGCAGCACTGATACGAAATTGCTTATGGTGTTACAATCAGCACGCCAAAGGAACGATTTCTTCTCAATCAAGGTGCTTTACATTATGAAAGCTCCAACGTTTAATTAGTTGTAACTTTTTTACATTTTTTAAAATCATATGCTTTTTTTCCCCAAGAGCCGCAGAATAGATTTTAAATAATTTTGTTTTTCAATCACGCAAAGATCTTAATAATCCATCTGATCTTTTATCTACCATACTTTTTTAAATACAAAATAGAATTTCGCATATGATCGTTAAAAAAAAAAGGAAGAATGATTTTACGTAACACATATTATAATTAAATAATGATACAATATGTAAAAAATATATAAGGATAAAAAATTTTTATTTTTTCTCAAAATTAAAAATATAGCACAAATAAAGAATATTTTTTGGTCTCTTTTCCTTGTATTTAAAATCAAATAACTTATATATTATATAATCTTTCGAATTTTATATTACTTTTCCTCTCTCTTGACAGTGAAAAAATTAATAAATCTCACAAAGCATTCCACGAGATGGCTGAAGCCGTGGCAGAGAGGTTGCTCGATCTACACTGTAGATTAATTTCCTTGTATATCCTTAACGAAGCTGACTCTCTCAGCTGGCACAGCAACAAACCATTCTTTGAAAAAGAGCGATGCTCCTACGTTATACAGATGTGGTGGCTGTATATGCAAGGTAAAAGTAATACTCAATTCCCGTTTCTCTCCGACTACTATGTATAATTTCAGTAGGACGGTATTTTATAGATTCATAACATTTGCAAAGAACGAATCTAATATTTTCAGGTACTAAGGCGGATTTATGGAACACAGTCTCGCCTAAGATGGCACAGCGTGTATTTTCAGAAATGCTAAACGAGTCTCTATCTATCATAGCGACGCGATTCATTCATGTAAGGCCGCGATATATCACAACTAGTTCCGATTAATCTTTCAATTTATTCTGTTCTTTTATCTATCTGTGTAGAACGCTTTATTGTTATCATGAATCACGCAAATGAAACTCGTTCGAACGAACGTGAAATTGGTTTATTGATCGAGCTTTTTTCTTGTCATTTGCATGCATTATGCGTTCCTCTGTAATTTATTAAAGTGTAACGTTTGAACTGTCACCTAAACAGTACACAATATTTATGATAAATATTCATAAATATTTTTTACTATTTATTTTTTGAAATATTATATAAATGTTTTATACATATTTTGTATACATTAAGAGAAAAAAATCATAAAAACTTTATTCGTTTTGATAAATATTTATAAAATATTTAAATAATTATGTTATAAATATTTTATACATATTTTATAAATATTGTATGCTGTCTGGGCATTTGTGTATGATTAAGTAAGATGGAATAAATTAAAAAACACGCAAATAATAACATTGTAACAGGGTCGACCGACAGTAGCACGATCCGAACAATTTTGGTCGGATGCCTTTAATGTGCTCTGCTGTACGGGATATCTAGCTTTAGGCGCATGTGTCGATGGCGATGGAATGATAGGTGCACGACCGAGTAATTTGCCGACAGCGATAAGAGATATACATGCAAAATGTAATGAATTATTAATCTGCTTACTACTTAGGGGCACTCCTCTCAAAGCATTGTATCAGGTATGGTCTCCAGAGTGTCAGACTTTTAAATCATTTTTCAACAAATTGAACGTATAACAAGAACGCATTATTTTTATTAAATAAATCAATTAAGTAAATGTAATTAAAATGTGTAGTAACGTATGTTAGAATTATATAGAGCACTCAAAGAATTGTACTCAAAGTATTGTACCAGGTGTCTGGCTTCTGGTGTCAGGCTTTTAAAATATTTTTTAACAAGTTAATTACACAGAAGAGAAAACACATTATTTTTATTAAATGTAATTATATAAATTAAAATGCACAATATGTGTTAAAATTGCACAGATAACGCATAGAAAGATAAAGAAACGCTACTCATCGATTAAACTCGGAATTTGCGCGAAATTGAAAAACGTGTACATTTAGCCTGAAGAAGAAAAATATTTTATTGTTAAACAATAACTAATTACATTTTATGTTATTCAGATCTTTCGACACGGATTGGAAAATTTGGCGATATTGCGACCGCGATGCAGTCCGGCCCCTTGGCTATTAATATGCGCTCCAAATTTATTAGGATTAGACGCGATTGATTCTCCAATTGATATTACAACATTATCCGAGGACAAAGCTGTCATTCTTGAATTGAATGTCATGAGGCATCAACCTCAACCTAGCTGGCCTCAACTGATGAAAGTAATTACTAACATATTTTAATTTCAAAATTCTTTCTTATTTTTAGATTTTACATCTTATCATCAAACTTCTTTTTATTCGCAGGTGATATCGATGAACGATTACGTCGTGGGAAAGATGCTGCTAAAGACTTTAGTACGTCAAAACGTGGGTTTTACGTCCGTGGACGAGTGCGATACACTTGATAAATCGAAGAAGGGTGAAAAGAGTTGCGGTGGTTTTTTATGTAATGGATCAGCGTGCGATAAATCGTTAAAAATAACTTCGGCTTTGGCATTGTACAGTTTATCTCACATATTAGTAATAACCGTTAACGAACCGGAACGTGTAATTATACCCGCATTGAAGCAGGATCCGAACTGGTCCAATTATCTGGACAGACAACAGGTCTGTATGCTTTTATGAAATATCGTTGAAAGATTTAATCGTGTAAATTTATATCAATTCTCATTAAAATATTTGAATTGATAATAAAATATTGATTTGATTTAATATAGTGTAAATTTAAAGCCATATTTTAATAAATGCAAAGAGATGTAAAATATATAAAACAAATGATTTTAATGTTAAGAATTGAAATTTTACACACAAGCTAAGTAACATTTATTTATTTATACGGAGCAAATATAATAGAAAAAAATATTTCTTGGATTTTTCGCGTACAATTTGATAAACGCAATTCCAGAAAAAATATTCCTAATTTGATTGCATACATTTTTTAACAATAAATGCATCAATTCGCTAATTATAATTCACTCATTATTTTAAAGGTCTGGAATCAGTCGAGGACACCCTGGCTCAACGCATTGATAAAGCCTCTGAAGATCATGATGCAACCGGTGGTCGAGGTGCTTCTGGAAGCTGCGAAAGTAATTGCAATGCATCACATGCGATATGCGAGACGCGCGTATCCAAAAATTCGTTTTCTTTACAAAATTATTTTTAATTTAATTTAATTTTTTGCAAAAATATTATGCATCTAATCATTCGTTTTTTAAACAAAATTGGCGGAGCCATAAAATTATAGAATCCGATACGCGCGCGCTCGCCGAGAGAATGGACATTTATTTAAAAATACATTCTATAAATTTTGAAAATTATCTTTTAGACAGGTGCCAGCATATATCAAGCCATGTCATTGGCGATCGGTTGCTTCGCCGAGTTATACGTGACGGCCTCGACTTCCGTTTTGCGCGCGGCCTTTGCGCTCAACGATAACATTCCT